TTAACGGTTTGATCTTCTCTTAACAGACCCGTCTGGTCTTATTATCTTCAGAAACCTCTCAAGATTTTTCGACCGTACTCCCTCGTTAGCCTTTGTTAAACTCTGCGGGGGATGTTTGCCAGGGTTCATTTACCGTCCTTTCGAGCTGTCTCCGTGCTCAGTTCATACGTTCCGCTTCTTTACATTGATCTGTGATCCTTTTTAAGCAGAATAAATGATGCATGTCTATCAAAGCGAGGTGTGCACTGACGCATCGCTTTGTGAAGATATCTATAAGTCCCTCTTCTGCGTCATGAAAGGTAGTCATTGATCAAGGGATGTTTCCAGCGTTTGCGTAAACATGTACAAACACAACACACACACACACACACACGTAACTATGAACATATGTACACGAACATACACAAGCACGCAGACGCACATACACACGTATATACATCTAGATTAACAGATATAATGATAGATTGATAAATGATCGATCGATTGAGATATATATATGTATGTATGTATATAGATAAACAGATAGATAGATAGATATAGATGCATACATACATGCATATATACATGCACACAGCAGCACTATTGACTCCATTTGCCATATATGGAATACTGTGCTTCTTTTTAAATCTACATAATCCTCAATTATCTACAAATCACTTTTCACCTGAACTGGCGACGCGTGCAACATAATCAGCTTCAGGATTTCCATATTCATGCAAACAAACATTTTTCCAAGAGATATCAGGACTTTTTTCATCACGCTGAAGTCTGTCCCTTTTACCATGACTTCCTGAATTCCGGGAAGAGACTGAGGGAGCGATATTTGCCATCCTCTTCTATTCTCCTGTCTTCTGTTTATATTCTTTTTCCTTTCATCTTCCCTTTCCTCCCTTCCTTTCCCCTTCCTTTTCCTCCCCTGCTCTTTTTACTCTGGTTCATCCTCCATATTTCCTCTCCTAATTTTTTTTCTCTGCCTCTTTTCTCTTCCTTTCCTTTCTCTTTTTTTTATTCTTCCTTCCTCGCTCCTGCTCTCCTGCCTTCCCTGTTCTCCCTTCTTTCCATATATTCTCATTCCTCTCCTTTTTTTTCTTCTCTTCTTTCCTTTTTTTTCCTATTTTCTTCTCCGCTCCTTTTCTTTTCTCTTGTCTCATTTCCTCTCCTCTCTTCTTCTTTCCTTTCTTTTCCTCTCCTCTATTCTTCTTTCCTTTCTTTTCCTATCCCCCTCCTATCTCTCCTTTCTTCTCCAGTCTTTTGTTCTATTTTCTCCTCTCCCATCCTCTCCTCACCCTTCCTCTCTCCTCCTCTTCCTTTCCTTTCCTCTCCCCTTTTTCCCTTTCCATTCTTCTTTTTTCCTCCTCTCACTTCCTCTCCCTCTCCTCTTTCCTCAATCCTGCCCACACATACCTTCTCCACACTCTACCACCTTCCCTCCCTTTCTCTTCCTTTCCTTACCCCTCCTCACCCCTCGGCGCCTCCCTTCCTCCCTCCTCCCTCCCTCATATACCCTCCCTCCCTCCCTCTCTCCGTCCGTCCTCTGTCCCTCCCTTCTCCACCCCTTTTCCCTCCTCCCTCCCTCCCTTTTCCCTCCCTCTTCCCTTCCTCTCCCCCCCTTCCCTCCCTTCCCCCTCCCTCCCTTTTCCCTCCCACCTTCCTCCTTCCCTCCTTCCTCACATGCCCTTCCTCCCCCCAGCCTCCACCCGGGGCGGAACCTGAATACTGAAAAGTTTCCCCGAGCCACACCCATTTCGCTCCGCCCCCATCACCTCGTCGGCGTCTGGAACCTCCCACCAAGGGTCGTCGGTGAAGAGCTGTTCTTGCCTCGGGGTTTCACAGGTGCTTCCGCAGGTGAGCAGCAGCCCTAAGGGAAAGAGGCGAGGGCTTAGATGAACCGTATTATTAGAAGGGAGGTGCTTCAGTAACCCTTTAATGGTAGAGAAGGGTGCTTCGTTGAGTTTTAATGGTATATAAGGGTTCTTGAGTAACCCTTAATGGTAGAAGAGGGTGCTTCAGTGATTTAATGGTAGAGGAGGGTGCTTCAGTGATTCAATGGTAGAGGAGGGTGCTTCAGTGATTTAATGGTAGATCAGGGGGCTTCATTGACTTTTAATGATAGAGAAGAATGCTTAAGTAATTTTAGTGGTAGAACAGGGTGCTTCGCCGACATTTAATGGTAAAAATGGATGCTTCAGTAACCCTTAATGGTAGGGTAGAATGTTTCAGTGACTTTCCATAATAGAGGAGGATGTTTCATTGACTCTTGATGATAGAGAAAATTGCTTCAATAACCCTTAATAATGGAGGAGGAAGCTTCAGTAACTCCTAATGGTGGAGGAGTGTGCTTCCTTGGCATATAATTACCTATTTTTAACTAGAACTTTAATAGCACCGCTGAAACGCAACGATTTTTTTTTGTACCCAACATATACTTGCTACTAATGCTATGCAAATTATTTTATTTGAGTCTAAAGTCTTTGCAAAGTATTTCATTTGAGTCTAAGTT